CTTCGTGACTGGCAGTCACCAGAGGAGACACAATTCTATAATTCATGGAGAATTTAAATATCAGTTCATTTTATGCTAAAACTTGAGCTGAAACGATGTTGTCTGGAAGGAGGAAGACAAAAGCTCTACAATTAAACCGACCAGCTCAGAGGACACAACTGATTGCAAATCAGAAATCATTCCAAAAGGTGAATTTTGTTACTCACAGGTAGGGTGTGATTTCAGTAAGAAATAACTTAGAATGTAAAAACTAATTGAATGAGAACAGAAAAACTGTTTGAGCGATTTCTCAAATAGTATGACCATTTTCGCCAGTTAGACGTCACTACTTATACCGACACACTCTACCGACTAAAAGAAATCAAACTCAAAATATAAAGCTTAATTTATCAAGATTCTGTCGACTTGTGTCCTCAAAATGAATCGTAGTTTAGGAAACAATGATTTGACAGAAGAAAAGAAAGATTAATGATGGTTGGGGAGAGAGTGAGAGAGAAACACTGAGATTTTCTCAGGAAGTATAAATAAATACATAAATATGAAAAATGGTTGTATGAAAATGAGTTCAAGGCGAACAATACTCCTTCTCTTTTTTGTTTACATGATAACTCTAGTCAACATTATGACATTGTATAAAAAAAGATACGTGTAACCTATTTACAGTGTAGTGTAGTGTAGTATGAGTAAGACCATCATGAATTAGGCCATAAGCGTTAAGTCTCAAAACCCATGACCTACTTGTTTGGTTATAAGTTGAAAGTCTAAACCAGTGGATAACTAACTATTATTCACTGAATATGAAACTTTGACCAGAGAAAGAATAAAAGATTTGAGTAGCTTCTGCACAGGCGGTGATATTCGTTTTAAACATTAAACTGTAATGATTTAATTTGTAGATGGTGACTAGCAGTGGAATCCAGGATAACGCGCATTTCGTCCTATTTGGGACTGTATTTCCCAGTGAGTGATGATGTTCCCACCGAGGCTCGAACCCAGTGCCCATAGTTTCAAACACCAAAGCGTTATCCACTAGACCACTTGGGCCACGAGAGCCGCCTTTTGTGAAACGGGTCATATTAATTATTGAATTGAATTTTAGATTTTCCCGTCGATTAATTGGACCGAAGTGCTCGGTCTCAGGTTGACTTGTCGGCTCCTTTTGTAGATGCTTCGATGATGTCTGGGCATTTAATTAGATCTTCATTTATGGATGGTGACCAGCAGTGGGATCCAGGATGTGCATTTCGTCCAATTTGGGACTCGTCATCTGGATGTACCTGCATCACCCAGTAAGTCAGTGATGATATTCCCACAAATAAAATTCTAATTACATGCCCAGAAATCGTTGAAGCATCTGTACAAGAAGCCGACATGTCAACCTGAGAATGAGCACTTCGGTCCAATCAGTCGATAGGAAAATCCAAAATTGAATAAAATTAAACTGTAATAATTTTTATTTCAAATGCTTATTATGAAAGCTATTTCAGCGATGAGAAACGCCAACTACTAATCTGTTACAACTGAATTTTTCGAAAGATGCTATTCTCATTTTCCAGGCTATAAGCTGAACTCGCTGTATAACGAGTTGATAAAGTATACTACCCAGTTGTTAAGGTAGAAATGTGTGGAGCAGGATACCAACCTAAGACGTATTCATTGGTAGTTGAAAGCTTTATTGTGAAACATGTTTATATAGAGTAGACGATTTTCAACTTAGTTTTATCTGCGCCTTATACAAAATCTTCAATTAAAACAGTAATCTACAGTATATCATAATACGGAATTTTGTTCTATCTGTAACATACCCAAAGTATTAATCGCTTCAAGATACACCGAGCTGTGTGTTAATATTTTAGTTATTTTATTTTTATTTTTGATTACAGCTTGATTCCACACCGTATTTTTGGTACAGGTATGGAATTTTCAGCATGGATATCGGTAGCCCAAATTTTGCAGGCCGACCATAGATATCAGGTGTGCGTCGGCGTGGGCTCGAACCCCGGACCATGTGCATGGTCGGCGAGAGTCCCAACCACTGTGCCACCGACGCACAGAATGAAATTCTCAGCATTTCACTACAGTATTGCATCCAGTATGTACATTAACAATAAATAAAATTCTACATAGATTAAGGGTAATCTCAGTTCATTATGACAACAACATATCAGCATGTCGGTAGCAAAGCCAAAATTGAACAGTGTTTGAAGGTGTTAGAAAAGTAGATGCCAGCATATTTACTGGCGTAAGCACTAACAAAAAGGTCAAGATATACAGAGTGTGAAAGAACGAAGAAGAATGTTTTAAGTAGAGTTTGTAAGAAAGAGAGAAACAAAACAACACATAACAAGAAAAAAAGAGAAAATGAAAAGAAAGGAAGAAAAACGTTGTACCTATAAATGATATGAGTTGGAAAGACGAGATCCAGCTGTTCTACTGACAATTTAATAAGTTATAGGTATCACGCTTTATGCTTTCTTTATTGAATAGAACACGAGCTAAGTAGGATATGGTTGAGTTGGGTTTTTGTACTTGCTAGTGCGAGCATATAGTTTTCTATATAGGCTTCTGGTTTCGCATGATGAGATACAGTGGGAGAATTGTGAATGAAGAGCTTGGTGTGGGGTAGACAGAATGGGTTTAGCCCATTTTTCACATGAGTCCAAGTGCCTGTCGACCAGAATATTAAAAAGCTGGTTAAGTGGTACGTTGCTTATCCTGCTGACAACCCTTAACATCCTACGTAATAAGATATAGTCTTTCTTCAGTAGCCCTGGAAAAAATAAAGGGGAACAATAAAGACATTCAGAAATGCACGCGAGTACAGTATTGCACTTCAGGAACGCAAATAAGTGGTTAAAATAAAGTATAAATGAGTAAACTTGGGGTAATATGCTCTGTAGAAAATCAGGTAGCTCAGTTATTTAAAAAAGACGCCAATATGTATCAATGAGATATATCATATAAGTATCTAATTCAGTATGATGAAAATACTTGGTATTCAAGAGTGTGCCAACGAATTTCTAATCAATTTAAGTATAACCGGCCGCTACATCTAAATACAGGGCACCGAAGTTGTATGAAAGTGACAAGTAAAAGTGACAGAAAAGGAAATAACTAAATCCCAGCTAGATTAGAAGTGTGCATCGGTGGTTCAACGGTGAACTGCCGTTTAGGCACATACACTGGGTCTGGATTCATTTCCCGGCCAACACATTTCGAAACTCCGCCTAGCCTGGAAAAAAAATAGAAGGTTACGTGTGGGGCTAGCAACTCCACCACTCCGTAAAGCAATTCCACTACTGCTGCTGAAACTTTAAATCTTGAAGCTTGAAACCCTATGCTTCACTCGGTACGAGCAAAGTGGGGAGAGTGAAAGAAAGAAGATCAGAAACGGTGATTGCCTTATCACACTAAAATCGACAAAATTTCATGATTATATCCTATCACAAGTGTGATGATGACTTTTTTCTGGTCCTGCATAATTTGTATCTGAGTTAAAAGTAGGACAAGAGAAGATTCAGAGTTCTTCTATTATTTTTTCTTAAATTTCACGTGATCAAAAACTTGGTAAATTGTGGACAACAGTATAACGGGAAGTGTGAGTGTAAAAGAGTTGAGACGCAACAGAATAAAACAGTAAAGTATACTTAATAGGTATTTTCAAAGGGAAATTCATTAATTCACTACTTTCTTGAGTAGAAGAAAGAGAGAAATTGATTCACGATAGCTACTAACTTTTATTCTCAAGCATACTTAACAACGTCTACAGCCGGTGACAAGTATAACAGATGGATCCCACCCTTGGAGTTTCAATACACAGATGGATACCATCACATGGTGCCATGTTATGTAATGTTATGTTATCATATTTTCTACTTCCATAACCGCTATCAGAGGCATAAAATAACGAACGGAGTGACATGCATAACTAATGTTTTCAAGCTGTAGAGGTTGGTGTCCTAACGACATTGATTGAAAGGCAATCTCAACTTTGTTTATACACCAATCATCTGAATTCAGAATAACTTATATAGTATTGTCAACAGATGCACGCAGTTGTACAGAAACGCTGATGATAAAACACACAGTCACAGCATTCCAGCTTGCTTAGAGATATCAAATTTCATAGGTGTGTGGAAACAATACATGCAGTAATGTGTTATAAAAACAAAAACAAATCCCGATGACGTAATCTCTTACCCTAACACTAATTCTTTATTCCGATACTAAAAGATAGTTATTCGGATAAATACTGACACACACTTATAAGAAACTAAGAGTTATTCTTGCAAAACTTTCAATAGACGAATCTGTTTAGTACTCCTATACACTTTTGTGAAAACTTTCTCACCGATTTCGGTGCTCCACCTAATTCACCCACTCCTCCTTAATTTCACCGAAAAAGTGTTCATAAGGTTCAAATGATAATAAATAATGACATGTCAATGACAAACAAAATTCGGCCAGGTTAAGCTTTAAGCACCAATGGAGTGCAAGTGCACCAATGACCTTGAAACGCTCACTGAGCAAATCAGTGAAACCTGGCAAATAATGTTGTCATCATCAATAAAATACGCTCATCGAAGTGTAATGTTATTAAATGGGATATCTGGCAAGTTTTTCAGCCTAGGTTTGAGAAAGAATTAAGTTACTCATTGAGCCTAAGACAGGTTAGGGTTAGGTTAACCTAACAAAGGTGACATTAGGTTTGGTTCGAGTTAAATTACAGTTAGTTGAAGGATATTTTCATGTTAGGATTAGGTTCAGGAAAGATTAGGGTTATTGCTAGGGTTAGAAAACCTAAATAATTACATGCATAGAATGTGGTTAAATTACTCTGTTGATATAAGAACAGAACTTGTGTATTGTGGTAGAATATAATTCCATTGTAAGTGAAATTTATTTTGGTAAAGTCTCACAGTGTTATACAGTGATATTTACTGATGACCCCGTTTTGAGCACAATTTATTGCTCAGGAAATATTTCTCTATTACACTATAAGACTTTATCAAAATAAATTTTACTCACAATGGAATTATACTCTGTTAATACTCCAACCAAAACTGAGAGTTATTTTTATCAAATGTAAGAGAAAGGTATCTTCTGTAACCCTTTTATACAGTTTTTATGCATCTTTTAATAAATACATGTATTCCATACACAAAAATGCCTCCTTCACGTGATTGGTGCAATCGAGGTCAATCGCTGATTGGTAGTTGGTGGTGCTTAAAGTTCAACTTTGCTCCAAATTCACAACTTGCAAATTGCCTAGTAATTTTCAATCTACACAGTTCGAGTACGGAAATTTCACCATATTTGCCTTCGGAAACCGAAATCATTCAGATCATTACACTATATGATCTGCTAGATACCATAAATGGTAGTAATCAAGAAAGCAATCACATTTGTATGAAACTATGTACTACTAAGTGATTAAGATGAGTAGTAGTTGAATACCACTCATATCAACCAATAGTGTTTGCTAACCAGACAGATAGAGGTGATTTCAACTCTGGAGACCTGTTTCGCTCGTTTGAGATTGGTGCAGCTCATCGTCGGTGTACCCGGTTTTACTCAGCTTAGATAGCCGAATCACTCCAAACCAACCGATTTCTGGCTGGCTAGCTAGCTAGCTAGCTACTTGGTTGAACTAGTCATACCATAAATAAAATTCACAACTTGCAATCCATACAGTTCGGATGGTGAAATTTTGCCGCAGTTTCCTTTGGAAGTCGAGTTATTCTTTATATTGTTTGCCAAAAGAATAAATGACTTTGTTTCCGAGAAGAAAAAACTGTGATTTATATTCAAAATTATCACCTCAGTAAGAAAAATAAACGAGGCGGTTCTATTTGATTTGGTTCTATTTAACTAATTACTGCAAACCTCGATCTAAACAATGACAATAGCTACTACTTCTACTATTACGAATTAAAGCATTGGACATTGAACATAATGCTTACCTGTAACAACAACAATCAGTTAGTTTTCGGAGATAATTACTTTGTAAAATGTAATAATAATTAAGATAATAGAATATAATTAGCATTATTATTATTGCTCTACTAGCTGTTGCTACTTACATTTGATGAAAAGATAAACTTGAAAAACATTTATATTATATAACTTTGTATAATGGCACAGTGAAATTATAACTGAGACATTTTATTGGTTTATTCACTATTAATATAAGTGCCTAAATACGCATTATTTAATGCCAGATAATATCCAGAGTATTACAGTGCAGATCAATGTTTTTTTTTAAATGAACATACACAGAGAGTTGTTGCACTTGTTTGAATTTGCTGATAATGCATTGAACATTTAACTATGTTTATTGTTTAAATTTGCATTTGTCTGTGATGATTTAAATTGAGTAGATATAAAGACAGTCGAACTAGAGGGATTTTATCATCCTTGAAAGAGTTGATCACCAACAAAATCGATATTATGGAATATTTCGATAAGAATGAGGGTTAATTTTAGAATTTCGGTTTACGTAGATTTTGTTTTACTTCAGAAATTTTCATTGTAATGACTATTTCTTTAGGGCTTGTTGTTTCAATCAATGTGTCATAGGTTAGAATGACCTTGAACTCACTGCAGCCTTAGTAACTGAGTATTTTCATCATCAGCCGACATACAATTTATGTGATTCACATTTTAGTACATGAATAATCTGTTCTGGTTAGGTCAGGTCTAGTAGTGATAACAACTCCATCATTACATCGTATATAATTCGCAAGTGTTAGCGCCATATCGTGAATTGGAAGAAGTTTGAATTCATTGGTTGGCCATTGGATCGGGTCCCAGTGGATTAATGATTTAAGAGATCACCCTGTAACCGGAAGGTCCTGGGTTCGAACTTTCGTGGTGGGTGCATACTGGTAAAGAGTCTCAAACCAGGACGAAACGGCTGTCCAGTACTCTACGCTGGCTTTTCAATGGTTCTCTAATCAATGTCATTTTATGATGAAATCCTCAAACCAATGAGATCCCTGTAAACCAACACTTGAATATCAAGCCAGTCGATGAGAATGATTCTTATGTTGTTAAGAGATGTATGAGATATACCGAGTGATTGACCTTCCTAATAAGCAATTTTACCTGGAGTAATATGATGCTGGAAAAGTTGTAGAAAATCAGAGTCGTAAAAATACATCCAACAACATTTGTAACTGTTGGTCTTAACTATTTACGGAGGATGAGTTCTTTGAGAAGTTAAAAATCAATTATCAGACAATCTTGTTAACATGATTCAAAATAATAAAAACGTATTTAATCTTTCTCATGTCCCATGCATTTCCATTCAATCTTCATTGAATGTCTTTTTTATGTTCTATGTGGGAGGCTGTATTTTCGAATTATTTCAGTTTGAAACATCCTACAACTCGTTATGTAGTTTTATATGCACTTTAACCAAGAGATTCGAACTTCTCTTTGCTTATTGATATCCGAACAACCAAATAGTTCTCTAATCGTGAGAATAACACCAGTGGCTATTAAAGGAATTATTGAATAAAATCAGCTAGATACTTCTTTAACTCATGGGTGGCACTCATACACAGGTTTAGTCGATGAATAAATGAATAAAAGCTCAACGAAGTAGGATTCACATAAATATATACAATCAATATTACCATAACTCTTAACATATAAGGAAAAGGGAAAACAAACATGAAAAAATGTATCATTTCACTGTCAGTTTCATGGAGATTTGGTTGATTTTGAAGTAGGTTTCATTGTGCGACTAAACTTTACTAGAGAATTATGATACAACCAAGTACCAACGTACTGTCAACCCTGGAAGTGATTGGCTCCGAAACTATCAGGTTTAAAGACGAACAGTTTACATTTTACCTAGTGGGTCGGAATCTAATAATGTATACTTTCGGTTAGTGATAGAATGACACCGTTTTCCGGTTAACTACCCTTTGTCACTGTGTGCAACACTAAATAAACCCCACACAATAAGAAATTATGTACATCGGTGGTTCAGTATTAGAATACTCACCAACCAAGCACGTAGTCTGGGTTCGCTTCCGGACGACACACTCCTAAACTCCGTTCAGTTGGTAGTGGGCTAGTTTCACATATGCCAGTAGACGTGATATCCGGCTGGCTGTCGACCAAAGGGAGGGTGTACTACTCAGCAGTCCGCTCCGTCCTCCTTTATGAGTGGCTGTGAGACCTGGCCATTGAGAGTGGAAGACATGAGCAGATTAACCGTCTTTGATCACTGGTGCCTGCGCTCTATATCCCGTGTGAAATGGTATAATAAGGCGTCGGTCGAGTGCTGGGTAAGGAGGGGAAATCAATCGACGAGGCTGTGAAGCTACATCGACTGAGATGGTTAGGACATGTGTTACGTATTCCTAGTCATCGCCTTCCTCGACGGGGAGTATTGGCTGACTGATATAGGGTCAGGCTGGAAAAGAGCTAGCGGGGGTCAAACCAAAACATGGCACCAGTCAATCAAATCCACAACAGTTAGTTTAAGCCAGCCAATTACGTAGGAAGGTGTAGACTTCCTGACTGGTTGGGGTCCTCGGGACGGTAAAACCAATGACAGCTGGAGACAATTGGTGATATGGCTCAAAGTGATCGTTCTCAGTGACAGCGCAGATGCACCCACTCCTTGTGACTTATGATTTCCAATGAAACTATATTGTCCTTCGTTATTACTATTCCTTTGTCTCACATCTCTGTTTACTGTCTCTATTATGCATTTCTTCTCTTGCATTGTGTGCTACATAGTGTGGCGACTCAAACTGTCGCACATTGGTGCAAAGTTCTATGTTGAAAACAGACAGACAGTTGGTAGTAGGTCTGGTAAACATGGAAAGTTGAGCAAAAGGTTAGCAAGCCCATCCTGTGAAAAATACCACAAGTACTAGTGAAACTTCATAACTCAGGCTTGAGGCTCTCTCTCTATGTTCCACTCAGAAAGCAAGAGGTACTCTCTCACACATATTGACTTTATGTTATTACTATCAAAAGGAATATTATTTACTATAAACTAACCTTTAGTTGACCTTGGAATTAATTCCTTTAATCAACACACATGTATAGTACTACTACTACTACTACTACCAAAACAACTTTGAACAACATGTGACTACTGATTAATTAATTCAAGCATATATACAGTAGGTAATGAAATCAAAGAAAGTAGATTTCACCTGTCACATACACTCCCCCCCCCACACACAGTCTAAATTCAAATCAGACCAGTGCTTTACGACAAAAAGAACCTACTTGTTTTAAAAATGATTAATTATAATAACATGTGGAAGTTTAGAGTTTACTCGTTCGTGTGATTTAGACATTGAGTCAAGTGGTATAAATAACCATTCAATGAATCACAGGTCTATAGCCATAGTTACTTCATAAATGTTAGAGAATTATAGATATCAGATGATAAAACTTTGTGGTGGTTTCGTTGAGTAGATAACAGGAGAATCGATAATACGTCACGCTTGTCTCAAGTTATCAGTTTGATAGGGTTCTCATTTCAGTAGTCAGATTATTATTGGTATCACTGTTCCCTTAGGTTTCTAGTGGGACATAGGGCTTCAAAATCGCATCTCTGTTTTACCCTGTTCTCTGAAGTCGTCTTCAGCTGGCCTGCCTACAGGCTGCCGTCCCATCCTCACACGATCTCCTCCATTTTACTCTGTAAAAGACGTCCAACTTGACATCTCCCATTCGGATTCCACTCGAGCGATAGCCTGGCGCGCGATGTCATTCGATGGTCTCCTCAGCGTGTGTCCGATCTATCTGTACTTCCCTCTGCATATTTCTTGAGCAATAGGTTGTTGATTGGTCCACTTCCAGAGTTACTTTGTTGATTATCTTTTCTGGATGGCCACCTGATCTGCACTATGGAGGTAGCGAAGTCAGTTGTTAACAAAAATCTGCATCTGACTGTTGGGGATGCTCTACGTGACGCTGCCACCAAGTTCCTGACCCATACAGAAGAACTGAGTTAACATTAGTGTTGAAAAAACAGTAAGATGAAATAAGGGAAATTAACAATAAAGCGATCGGCTGATTCAGAAATATTAACGCTGTCAATCAAGGTTTTCATACGTAATAAAATAACAAGGGATACATTGAGTTTACCATGAATACTGAGCGCTGTTCAGAATTTAAGGGAAATATATCATCTGGATTAATTAATTAATTACCTTAAATTAAAACCTCATCTTTACTGCCTAACCTTGATTCTATATCCTGACCTTAAAGGATAGACGTTTGGATGAAGTCCAATACTGTTACACAACTGTGAATTAGGGAATCTGTTTCATATTCTTATACTTATCGAAACATTTTTTCGTCATGATTACGACATGTTTTCATCAAAATCGGCCTGTTCTATTCTGATTGGCCGGTTCAAGGTCTTTGAGTCGGTCGGTTAATCGTTCGTTCGAATAGCGATTAACTAACTTCAACGGTGATACGATGGGTTTATAGTTTATCCTGGCAACGACACTCTTTGCAGGGGCATGGTCGGTTGCTGTTCTCACGTAGTCACATAACCAATATACACTTTTTTAGATATTTAGAATTAAATCATGAATATAAAAGGTTTTTCATGCGATATTTATTTGGACAACTCCATAGTTCTTGCTAGTCTGTAGTTTGTCTGTCTGTTTTCGACATAGAACTTTGCACCAATGTGAGGCAGT